TGGTTGTCATGGGTGACCTAAACTACCCTGACATCTGCTGGGAGGAGCAGTCAGCCAAATCTAACTGCTTACATAGGTTCTTAACCTAAATGCAGAACCTCCACCTAACGCAGGAGGTATACGATCCCACTAGGGGAATCACCTTGCTGGACTTGGTGTTAGCTACAGGAGATGACCTAGTGGGGAATCTGCAGGTACAAGGTAACCTAGGGGATAGTGACCATCGATTGATTGAATTCACTATCCGGTGAAGAGTGGGTAAACTAACCGGCAGGGATGAAGTGCTAGACTTCAGAAAGGCTAACTTCAGTGTGCTCAGGAGATTAGTTAGTGAAGCATTAAAGCTCAAAAGCATTGGCGAAATGGGGGTTCAGGAAGGATGGTCGTTCCTCAAGGGAGCAATTCTATTGGCACAGAAGGAGACAATCCTATGGTGCATAAAAGGGGGCAAAGGGGCCAAGAAGCCCTCTCGGTTGAACAGGGAAGTTCAGGAAAGCCTAAGGGCAAAGAAAGAGGTATACAGGCTATGGAAACAGAGGGCAGCTACCAAGGAGGAGTATACCTCCCTGGCTCGCACTTGCAGGGAATCAGTTAGGAAGACCAAACCAGGATTAGAACTTAGGCAACAAAAATTAAGGATAACAAAAAGTCCTTCTTCAGGTATATAGGGAGCAAAAGGAAGGTGCAGGGTAGCACAGGACCCCTACAGGACAAACTAGGGCAATTGGTGACAGAGAGGGGGGACAAAGCTGAGCTCTTCAATGAGTTCTTTGCATCTATATTCCTAGACACAAACCAAGACAAATCTCCCAAATGGATCATAGACAGCACAGGAGGGATACCAGCCCACCAACTGTTAGTGCAGATTTAGTGAAGGGGCACTTGGAGGGGCTGGTTGTGTTCAAATCAGCAGGTCTGGATGAACTTCATCCAAGGGTGCTGAAAGAATTGGCCAGTGTCATAGCAGAGCCCCTCGCACGGCTGTTTGGGTAATCATGGTGCTCTGGTCAGGTCCCAGAGTACCAGAAAAGGGCCGATGTGGTCCCTATTTTCAAGAAGGAGAGGAGGGAGGAACTGGAAAACTATAGGCCACGTAGTCTCCCCTCTATCCTTGGGAAAACTCTGGAAAAAATCATTAAGGATCACATTTGTGGGAGCCCAGCAGAGGAAATAATGTTGAAAAGAAATCAGCATGGATTCACTGCAAGTAGATCCTGCCTGACTCACCTTGTTTCTTTTTATGACCAGATCTCAAAATGCTTAGACGCAGGAGTTGAGGTAGATGTCATCTACCTAGACTTTAAGAAGGCCTTCGATATGGTATCTCATTCTGTTCTTGTAAATAAACTGACAGGCTGTGATGTAGATGATTACATGTTCAGGTGGGTGGCAAACTGGCGTAGGGGGTCGCACCCAGAGAGTGGTGGGGGATGGGTCAATATTGACCTGGAAAGATGCGGGCAGTGGAGTACCGCAAGGCTGGGTCCTTGGACCGGTGCTATTCAATGTCTTCATCGGTGACTTAGACGAGGGCGTGGAGAGCACCCTGTCCAAGTTTGCAGATGATACCAAATTATGGGGCAAAGTTAACAAACCAGAGGGTAGGGAACAGATCCAGGCAGATCTGGACAGGTTGGAAAAATGGGCAGAATGAAATAGGATGTAGTTCAACAAAGACAGGTGCAAAGTGCTGCACTTGGGCAAAAAGAACCACCAACACACTTACTAAGGCTGGGAGATGACCTTCTCAGCAGCACAGCAGTGGAGAGGGATCTTGGAGTCATAGTTGACTCCAAGATGAACACGAGTCATCAATGTGACAAAGTGATCAACAAGGCTAACCGCACTTTATCATGCATTAGCAGATGCATGATGAACAGGTCCAGGGAAGTGATGCTTCCCCAATATGCATCACTGACAGCACTGGTCAGGCTGCAGTTGGGGTACTGCATCCAGTTTTGGACACCGCACTTCAAGAGGGATGTGGAAAACTTTGAGAGGGACCAGAGGAGGGCCACTCATATGGTTGGAGGCCTGCATGGAAGGCCCTATGAGGAGAGACTGAGGGACCTAGATCTCTTCAGCCTTTGCAAGAGAAGGCTGAGAGGTGATCTTGTGGCTGCCTATAAATCCATCAGGGGAGGGCAGCAGGGAATAGGAGATGCTCTATTTACTAGGGCACCTTCTGGAGTAACTAGGATCAACGGCCACAAATTGACAGAACAGATTTAGGTTGGACTTTGGAAAGAACTTCTTCACAGTAAGGGTTGCCAGAATCTCAAATGGGCTTCCAAGAGAGGTGGTGCTCTCCCCTACCCTGGGGGTCTTCAAGAGGAGGCTGGACAAGTACCTAGCTGGGGTCGCCTGACCGCAGTGCTCTTTCCTGCCCAGGGCAGGGGGTTGGACTTGATGACCTACTGAGGTCCCTTCATACCCTAACATCTATGAATTTTTTAATCTATGAATCTATAAATAAAGTGCCAGGAGGCTGGGGCTGGGGGGGCAGCCTTCAGGGTGGCTGGGGGTGCAAGCAGGGGATGGGGCCAGGCGGGGCAGCCATTGGGGGATGGGGCCTGGCAGGGCAGCAATTCAGGGGGCTGGGGTAGCAAGCGGGGGTGGGGCATGTGGACCCTGCGTGGGGGAAGTAGCCCCTGCAGGGGCCATGTGGCCCCTGTTGGGGGCTGTGGCCCTGTGGGGGGCAGCCTATGAGCTGTGCAAGCGGGCTGCACCCTGTGGAAGGCAGGGGACCCACCCCTCCTGAGCAGCCCCCCCGCACATTACCCCCACAATCCACCCACAGCTACCCACACACCCTACAGCCCCCTACATCCTTCCACAGCCACCCACACACACCCTGTGTGCCCAGCTGCCAAACAGGATGAGACCTGCTAGCAGGAGCTGCAGGGGCAGCTGTCTCCACATCTTGATTAGTGAAGGGGTCACAGGGAGCTCTAACTGCTCTATGGTAAGAAAACCTAAGGCAAAGAGCGAAACATACAGGTATTTAGAATTCATTTTATCATGATGATAGAGACACTGGTAGGCTTCCAAACTACTTTAACACTATAGATATATCAATAAAACATTGCCCAACAGATCACTGTCAATCTGTCTGTCTGTTTCTCTCTCTAGTGGTTTTTTTGTCTTAATTGTGGAGGAATATGGATTTCAGGGTATTTTACAGAGTGACTTCAGGATTTTTTTCAGTGATTTTTCAGTTTTCAAATAGGGAACACCAGAATTCCTGCTAGGGAGGCAAGTGGCAGGACCCAGGCAGAGGAGCCTGCTCAGAGCTGGCACCTTGGACCCAGCTGGAGCTAGCTGACCAACTGGGGCCAGGAGGACATGCTTTGACAGTTCAAAGCAGGCCACCACACCCAGAACATCTTCCAGGTGATAGCTGCCCAGATGGCTGCGCAGGGGGCACACATGGTAGTAGTGCCGCACAAAGGCCAACTCTCCAGCCACAGCCCACTGGCAGCTGGCCCTGAGGGGCAGATGTCTCTACTGGCTGTGCTGTCTCCCTTCGGGTCTTGCAGGTGTGCAGCAGGTCACAGACAAGCAGCAGCCCCCACTGCCAGACTGCTGCAGTGGGTAAAAGATGCAGGGAACTCTCAGGGCTGCTTCAGCAGTCCAGCTGACACAAGGGATAGTGTTCCCTGGTACCAATGGCTGGGCTTCAGAAGCTCCTGAGAGCAAGTAGCCCTGAGCTACTTAACAGGGCAGCTTTTCGTACTGATGGGGCCAGGACAGGGCAGCTTTATACACTGCTGGGACCAGCACAGGTGCTGGCCCTGGGCTCTAGCTCCCCCTGGCTGCAGATCCAGGAGGAGCCAAGCAGGGTTATTTTGCCCCAAGTGGCACAATTTGCTGCACACCAAAGTGCATGTCCAGGCACATGCACCGAGGCAAAAAGCCCCACCTCAAATCTGCACCAATTCTATTTGAGCTGCTGCAAGCGCACGTGTTTGCATGCATGGACACGCCCCCAGAGTGCTCCAGACAGACAGAATAAGCCTATTATTATTATAGATAAGACGCAGCATACAGCTCTAAGCCAAAGCTCATCTAAAGTCAATTTTCAGTAATTTCAATGAACACTGCATCAGGCCATTACATCCTGGGATATACATAATAAATAAAATTAAATAAATTAATATAAACAGGCCTTGATTATGGTTTCAAAAGCATCTGTTAGAAGCTGCAATTTTTTGAGGACAAACTAAAAGAGGAATGAAATAAAGTGGGAAAAACTAGTCTACAACCAGCACGAATAAGTCGGAGCATTTTTACCATAAATCGATATATCTAATTTATCAGAGAAAAATTCTCCATTTTAATTCTAGCACAAACAGTAAAGCTTGGCAAACAACATACTGTGAGTTTTTGAGTGAGCATGCAGAATGCAGAATTTACACAAATTTTCCCTTAAGATGATTTCTAATATACAATATCCTTTAAGAATGTAAAAATGACCACAGATATTCTAAGAATTTTGAAAAGTTTTCCCAAGTACCATTCATGATGACAAGATGAACAGAAGTCCTGAAGAAGAAATAATTTTTTTCATAGAAAAAATAAAACAAAAAGATTATCTATCAACCAGTCAAAATCACAATTAGGACATATATTTTAGAATTACCAACATTTCTTGTGATTGCTTTCATTTAAGAATTTCAGACTCTCAGATCACTTAGGCACTCTTGGCAGAGAATCTAGGTGTTTAAAACTGCTTAAACACAAAATCAAATGTGGTAAAGCATCTTAACGCTAACACTGGAAGTACAGTGAGCAAAATCATGGCCCCACTGAAGTCAGCAACTAAACTTCCACTGACTTTAAGAAGGTCAAAACTTTACTCAAAATAGTTATAGTCTAAATTATCAAAAATCCTTTTTGTCTTAAAATTCTATAATTGATTGAAAAAGGTGTGAACACAGTGTAAAGCACAATGACTTTGCAAGTTAGCTTATATAATAAAAAGATAAATCATTACTTACCCCTTTTCATAAGTAAAGTCTTCCTTAAGGGAATTAGCTGATGACTCACCAATGAAGACAGAGGGAATGTCAATCTTCTTTAAAACTTCAACTGTTTAAAATATAGCAGCAGAAATAAAAGACCAATATTGACATAATTGTATTCCTCTATGGGCACATATTTAAATCAAAACCGATTTATAAAGAGCCATGAATATGTTATGAGACTATTATTGTGGAAGACATCCTCTACTAGAGACTTAATGTTCGGAGATAAATATATATTCTATTAATTTAACATATTTTTTCCTTTATGACCATCTGAGCTTCATTGTCAGTGCAACTATGAACTCAACATTCTAAAGAAATTATTAAAAAGGATATAAATCCTCTGGCAAAAAGTTGTCTAGGTACAGTTGGGGTACAGACAAATACACGAATTATAGGAAGCGCAGGGATTGTGGAAACTTTACCTCACATAAGCTACTCTACGCTAGCAGTCCATGCATCTGCACTTTCCCTGAGGTAAGTGAAAGCAAAACTAAGATAACTTAGCTATCAAAGGAAAAATGGTTAGTTACTATGGTTTAACTTTCAATTGTCATGCAGAGAATGCAGGAAAGCAGCTATCATGGGGTAGGTGACACAGAATAAAGCTCTCACTCCTTTTAGCTTACTGGAATTTGTTCATTTATCCATGCTTCAAAGCACTATTTCTTATGTGACAGATCCTTAGCTGGTTTAAACTGGCAATTTCTTGAAGCCACAATGATTTACCCCACCTGAGGATACAGCTATAAACAATCTACTTTTTTAATATGAATGCACAAGAGATGATCTGAGAATAGAAGAGGCCGAAAGTGGGAGAGAATCAGCAAACCAAACCCACTCACATTTTTCTCCTTTAAAAGAGAAAGTTTGCTGATCCATTTTTTGAAGCTTGTTCTTGACCCCTTCATATATTCTTGTGACCCACTTTTGGGTCACGACCCACAGGTTGAGAAACACTGCTATACAGAATAGTACACACAGTTTTCTCTAATAATTTACCATCACTTTGTTGAAAGTGATTTTTCAGTTCATTAAGGTGTTTTTATTCGGAAATGCCATGCCTGCTCTTATTTATGTCTTTGTGACTCAAGAGCATGAAAAAACATGAAGAAAAGGATCAAAATATCACAAAGAAAACTAGCAGCACTGAAGTCAAAAACAAAACATTTTGGATCTATTATTCTTTAGATATATAATTTTGTTATACAATAATAGAGATTGGATACTTCCATGACAACTGTGGGATTTTGTGGTAATGTGTTATTTATGGTTAAGAATGCCTCAAAAAATTCTCAAAAAAATGCATGAATAGTTACATATACATGCTTAGATGATGGAGATATATAAGTGAACAGAAAGCTATACACAGAATTGTAAACAGGTAAAACAGCCTTTTGCTCCAAATTATCATATGTAATGTATTTAAGTCCTGAATTCTCATCCAAGGGAATACTAGCTATTTTTGCTCCATTCCTCCATTAGCAGCAACAAAAAACTAACACCTTTCCAGCTATTTCTTGGGGGTAGTCATACTCTTTTCTCTCAGAAATATAACCATTTATCTCATTAAACCTGAACTACAACTTTAACAGAGAGAACAAAGACAGGAAAATAATTTTACAGCACACACAAATCGTATACATTTTACAGCACACATAAATAGTATAAACTCATACTTACACTAGTTTCTCACATGTTATGACATTAAAAGATTTCTGCTTTACAATTAAAGGAGAAAGTTTCTGGTTGTATTTTTTTAAACTGAAATCAATACCAAATGGGTGGGAATGATTTTCAAACAGGAGAGAAGAAGTGATACCTGTACTTACTGTCGTTGGATCCCATGCTAATCAGGTCATCAGAATCAACATTGTGAACTACAGCTGCTTTGTATCCAGCTCTCTGTGCATTTAAAACCTGTAAGCCATACAAAACACCTTATTATAAACAATAATGCTGATATATTGCAGATTCATTCACAGCATAATTATTATTAAATGGCTTAATCTTCATTGATCAATTAATAACAGGACATTTTACGGGTTTTTTTAAATCAATCCTACCCTTTCAGGACAATACTTCTGTACTTTTAAAAATGTTCCTAAAAAAGTTTCAAGTCATTTCTGTGCAAGCAGATGTCACACATTTAGGAAGACAGGCCTACAATCCTTCAACTTTAGCATAAAAACAAACAAACAAGCAACATCCCCCTCCCATGTAGCTGTATCTGAAAGGCAAAAATGGAGCTTATTTTATTTAAGCAGAAGTTACCTGTTGTAGTATTTTATGTGAGGACAGGCAACTCAACTACTTCTACATCTATAAATCTTGCTTGCATCTCTTTATTACTTGTCAGTGTCAGATACTGCCTGTATGTTACCCCAGAGTGGTTCAACATTATGCATATCAAACCTTAAAGTGCAACATTAAGCAACTACAATGCTGGCATTCTGGTTTTAAGTCAGTATAACCCGGCATGATTAGTTAAAACAATTAGGCCTCTGGCAGGCATTACATTTTTTTGAATTATATACGAGTTTCACGTGGCAAACCATAGCACACCAGATGTTAAATCAGTTTATCCCTGGTTGAAATGGTAGAACAGACACAAAGGAGTTGCTTGTTGAAACAGCAACTTCTTTGTGGCATGTAAGTAGCCCACAATAATTTTAACATGTGGCTACTTGGCATGTTACAATTTATCATACAATACATTTGTCAAGCAATAATGTGAATAATCCCTCAGCCTACCTAAGGATAAATCTAGGTTGTAGTAATTGTAACCATTATAGATATATCTCAGCAAACTTTAAAGTAGCTAGCTTAGTGTGAGGCCAGTCCCAAAAATATTTCTGGGAGGAGGCCAAGCTGACACCCTGAAAGGGGGGGGGGGGCCGCAGCTTCGCGGAACCCAGATGCTAAGGGACACTGACCTAATGCATCTGCTGATCTACTGATTTGCTGAAAATAAGAAAAGGAAACAGCAAGTAAATTGGTAATGGCTTTGGAAAAGTACCCGAACTAACAGCCCTAAAAAGGGAAAGTGCAGTATAGCCTAAGTAACTCCCTTTGCCGCTCTGGAAAAGGGAACTGCGGCAAGGCCTCAAGTAACCCTGCTTCACAGCATGCGATGATGCTTGCTCTAGCCCATAAAAAGTGATACGGCTAGAAACTAACGTGCAATTGGAAGAAGTGAAGGTAATGGGAGATAGGAAAGGTATAAAAGTCATACGAAAAGAGCCTTAGGTAAAACTACTTCAGGAAGGACAAGGCTGAGAACCTGATAAAGAAGGCAGGTTCGCCACCCAGAACACAGGGTGGGGTTCCCAAGACCCATCAGGTAATAACATAGGACAGGGTGAGAAGTGCCTTTCCTCCAGCCCGACGCGCTAGCAGCTTGTAGGCATATGATAATGACTGTGTGTGTGTTGTATTCTTTGCAATAAAAACTCGTACTTGAGTTTTACCCTAGCATGTGACTTGCAGGTTACTCACCTTCTCCCTCTGGGAAGGGAGGGAACCCCTACAAGTGGTGGAGAATATATTCACACACTGGGGAAAAACCACAAGTCTGGTGGAGCTTAGTAAAAGAGTACATCCATGGGCATCCTCTGGGGTGAGGGACCTCAGGTCCCTCGCCGCGGTGGAAAGAGTTTTTGCCCAATGGCAAATAGGCAAAAAGCCCGGGAAAACTGTGTTGCTAAAAGGTGCCGTTTCTTTGTTGTGAGAAATGGTGAGGACTTTGTTGCCATCAGAGGATCCAGAACCAGGGGAGGGGTAAGAAGTGGCAGCGACTGATCTGGTCGGGGACCAGGGTAATCAACCTGCTCTCTCAGTTCCAGGAACAGAAGAGACAACTCATCCGAAGGGAGATTCCAGAGAGGTCAAAGGTAAGTGCTGTTATAAAATCCAAGGTACAACAGGCTCAGGATAGACGGCCTACCGTGCAGGAATAGGAAGCAACTCCCTGGAAGCCGACACACCTCCAAACTGAGCTGGTAGGTTGGGCAAAAGACGCAAAGAAAACCTAGGCCATGTAGGCTAATCGAGTAGTGGCCCAGGGGTTAGACAAGTTTTTCACTCCCAGAGAGTCATTAGCAGTGACAGCAAAAATTTTCACAGGGGGGTGGTATAAGTCAGCACAAGCCTCTCTGAGAATAAATTCAAAGATGTCAGGATATTACGCTCACCAGCTAATAGGGTTTGCATTAAAATCATTGAACGCCTGGGAACTGTCCAAGGATCGACGTGCTAGAGAACCAAAGTAGACCCGGTACATCAATTAAGCGGGGATGCGTTCATTGAAGCAGCTTTGAGGGACCAGTTAGAAAATGACCCCTGCGGGTCATAGTCACTAGGACCGCATGGGAAAGCACCCTTCATAAGGGGACAGGACCCTTGCAGGGTCTTCTGATGCAACAATACAATACCTGGATGAACCATCCACTAAAAGATATTATAAAGGGGTTGCAAACTCTGATTAACTTGACCGGGGAACACCCGAAACTGAAGCAGGTGGCAGTGATAAAAGGAATGTCAGCAGATGCAAAAAAGATTCCCTGCCGACAGCTCTGGATTGAGCTAAGGAAAGCAGGAACCCCCCTAGAGCAAACTGATGCAAAACCCACATCAGAGCGAGTTGTATAGACTTTGGAAAAAGAGTAACCTCGGGGAAAAGAATACAGACTGCCGTGCAGTTGCGGCTGTCCCCTCAGCCCCACCCCTAGAAGAGCCTGACACCCCGGTCGGCACTATCCTGATCTGAAGAACCTGCACCTAGATTAGGGGGGCCCCAGGGAGGAAATATGAGGGACACCCCTTCCCTCGCTCCCAATGGGGTGAGTCCCCGGGGATTCCAGTAGGTATCTTTTTGCTCAGATTAAAGTCAAAAGAGATGAGGTGGCAGGGTGGTTTCTAATGAACACCAGGGCGGAAGTTACCATATTCCAATGGGAATACACCCCCCACCCCTCCGGAGTGGACGCCCTGTAGCGCTAAAGGGGGGGGGGGGCAATTAGAGGAAGGAAAATTGAAGGTGTGCCAAAGTTAGGAAAGTGGGATGTCTTCACGGTAGTAACTGCTACCCACCACCCACTATGGATATTGGAAACCAATGCCCTGAGCCACTGTGTTATAGATAACCCCCACCAGAAAGTGATGGCCATAAAAAAAGGCAGTCCTCATGCCAAAGAACAGGCCATGGGTTTGCTTGGAGTGGGATGTAGGAAATACCAAAAATGAAATGCACGTCAAATTAGAAAAAGGAACGAGGCCATGTTTTGTGTGCCCCTACCCTTTGACACCCACAGCTGAGAAAGGGGTAAGTGAAATGATCCAGGAACTATTGTAGGCCGGTTTGGTGGAGCCCACTATTTCCCAGTGGAACTCCCCCTTATGGTCTGTGTGAAAAGCTAGTAGAAAATGGAGAATGGTAATAGATTACCAGGAAGTAAACAAAAGGACAAAAAAATTAGGCCCAGTGGTCAGCACCCTACCCGAGATGTGGGATGCAGCCCAAAAGACAAGCGCTTCGCATTTCACTGTAATTGACATTTCAAACTGTTTCTAGGCAATTCCCATACGAAAGGGTGATCGAAACGTATTTGCCTTCATGTTCAGAGGCAAACAATATCGGCTGTTGTGCCTGCCCCAAGGCTGGTACAACTCACCGATATTAGCGCATCAACAGGTGCGCAAGGCACTTGAATCCCAGCCACAGGTTCAAAGTTACATAAATGACATATTAATCTAGTCAGACACTCCTGAGGAGTGTGCGGATATCTCCTACAATGTGCTGCGGGCCTTGGGAGCAACAGGATTTCAAGTGGATCAAATAAAGGTCCAATGGGTGCAGCGCTCAGTAAAATACCTAAGTATGCAACTGAATGTGCAAGGTCTGGAAATACTAGAGCAAACCAAGAAAGCATTAACCCAACTTCCCCCGCTCCACACCCAAAAACAACTACAGTCCCAATTAGGATTGATGGGATGGTGTTGGGCGGCAGTGCCGAACTTTGCGGCTCTAGCACGGTCGCTCTACTGGGCAATAAAGGCCAAAGATGACCCGTGGAGTTAGGGGGAGAAAGAAGAGGGGCTCCGCCAAGTAATGCTGTGAGCTATATTGAAGAGCCCTCCCCTGTTCCCTCCAAACCCCAGCACACCTAAGTATCTGGAGGCAGGAGTTTGAGAGGACACCATTAGTGCGGTGCTATACCAACGAAGTCACCAAGACTGGAAAACCTGGGAGTTGTTGGGGGCTCAGAGCCAAGCGCTATCCAATATTGAAACCCACTATGAACCATTACAGAAGGAAATGTTGACAGTGGTTTTGGGGCTTGAAAAAGGGGAAAAGTTGGTAGGAAATGCCCCTTTAAAAATTCGAGCATGGCCAGGGATTTTGACTGCCTTGAAAAAAAGCCCACCCACAGGGTCTCCTCACCAGACCTGGTGGCTAAAGTAGAGTTTGCAGCTGGCCAGGTACCCACATTGGGAGGCAAGGGAAATACGGAAGAACCTGGTGCTCTCATGGTTAAAAGCCCCTGTAGAAGAAGAGGCCACAAGTCCCATAACCTGTGCCGACACATTTGATCCTGTTGATCCTCACGCTCTATTTACTGACAGAGCAGCAATTGGCCCAATGGCGATTTGGGCTTGGTTCTGCCCCTTCTTGAAAAAATTTAGAAAGAGAGAAATAAGAGGGAGCACCCAACTAGCTGAATTAAAGACAGTAGAAGAGGCAATTGCCTATGAAATCAGACAAGGATGGGAAAAAGTAAGAGTGTACACAAATGGTTAAGTATATGCAAAAGGGGCTACTAAACAGATCCCCTATTAGGAAAAGGCTGGGTAACACTTGAAAGGTAAACCTGTTTGGGGAATGAAAATTTGGCATCATATCTAGGAAATGAGTGGCCAGA